TAGGGAAATGTCCTTCTTGCTGTCTCTGACGTAGCATATTCCATCTCCCATCTCAGTGCCATTGCACTGACTATCTTCTCTAACTAGAATGTCTTCTTCCTCACCTTTTCCTCTTACTGTAGAATTGCTGGTTACCTTCAAATGTTGGAAAAAGGATCACCTCCTACACAAGGCCTTTCCTGATTCCATAGCTACCAGTGTCTCCTCCTCAAAAACAAACAAACAAACAAACAAACAAACAAATAAACAAACAGCACTTTGTTTTTGTTTTGTCTATACTTAACATGTCTCCCCCCCACCCAATAGAATGTGAGACCATTGAAGGCAGGGACTTTTATTTTTTTCCTGTTTCTCTAGAACCTAGCAAAGTATCTGGCACATAGTAAGTATTCAATAAATGCTTGTTGAAGAATGGTTGGATGGTTTCAAGAATACTTCTTCAGTTTTGTTTTGAATATCAGGTCTACCACATTCAACATTATTGATTTACAGAATATGACAGTAACTGCAGAAGGCCCAGGGTGCCATCTCCTTGTTTGAGCTAAACTGTCCCTAAAAGACAATTCTCACTTTATGTAAGTGGACTGTTTGGTAGACTTCTACACTTCTGCGTAAAGTGATTTTTATGTAATGCAAATTTGCCTAGGGACTTGGGGAAGGGAGAGAGCAAGGGAGAGAGGCAAGAAGGGAGTTCATTGGCATATGGAGAGAGGGGAAAGCATATAGTTTAAGGACACATAATGGCCAGGGACAGAGAAATGAAAGCTGAAGGAACACTCAGGGGTGGGGACAGACCTGAGGTATGCAAGCACTAACAGAGAGGCAAGATAGATAGTTGGGGCTGGACAGAGGTGGGAAGTGGGGATAGTGGGAAGAACAGGGCAAAGGTCTCCTCTATCAGCCCTGTGGGTCTCAAGCCAAGCCCCTGATTGGGCAGAAGTAGTAGTGGTTTCTCAGTACCTCTGTTCTGCTTTCACTTGGAGGGCGGTTTTTTTTTTGTTTGTTTGTTTTGTTTTTTGTGGAGGAGTGGATGGCCGCAAGTGGAGGGGCCGGAGCAGAGAGAGAGCATAGTACTATACAGTAAAGGTAATAAAAGACTTTGGTTTTGGAATGTGGATTTCTTTCAGAATTCTTTGTGTAAAGTTAATTGGCATAATGCAAACTGTCTGTATTGCAAATCATGATTCCACTCTTTGGTGTTCATTTTATTTTTTCTCAATATGCACATCACTGTAAGTACAACTGCTATGTATACATCTTGGATCATTGTAGTCACATGATTCTCAACAGGATGAACCATTAGGATCCATCTTCCTTCAATGATTGTTTTCTTGTTATTTAAACATGTAAGATTGATGAAAAGGAATCTGTCCATATATCTGGAGGACAATTGGCATACATAATCTTCCCTTCTGGCTCTTATCCTCCAGATCCATTGGCTGTGTTCAAATAGAGAGTGGATGACCATCTGCTAAGGATGTTATGGAGGAATTTTTGTATTGAGTAAGAGGTTGGACTAGATGACCTTTAAGGTCCCTTCCAATTCTAAGAATCTGTAATTTGTTGTGTCTATGTAACACCTGCCAATTTGGTGAGAGAATTTTGGACAGCTGGTCAAAGTGACTTCCTATTACATATATGGCTATAGAATTCTTGATTTCCTTCAAAACTTGAGTACCACCTCTTGATTTCATCACCACCATGCAAATCCTTACCAGTACGTTATAAATCTCAGCTCATGATGAATGTTGTGTCCATTTTACAGATGAGGATGTTAAGGCCCAGAGGGAAGTAGGTTACCCAGAGTAACAAGGTGCTTTAAGAGCAGATTTACAAATGAATTCAGGATTTGTGACTCCTTCACCTAGGAGTGTATCTCTGGGCTCTCATTTTCTAATTGTTTTTGTTGATTCCTTTTGTTTTCCTTGTTCCCCCCTCCCCCCCCCAAAAAAAACCTGATAGCTACCTACCTACTGTGTGTTCTAAGCTACTCATGTGGAATCTCAGCAGAGTCATTGTCATAGATAAGGTAGGGAAGTAGTGAAGAGAGCCTCTTCTCTCACTGTGCATTCGGAGTTCTGCTTCCTGCTGAGGTCAAGTTCCTTTGTTTAAATTGCTCCCAGAGGCTTCTCCTCCTCAAGGCAAGAAGGAGTAAGTGGGGAAAAATTCCCCTTTGCCAAAAGAGAGGGATGTACACAATAGGTGCTGCATTGAGAACCTTATTGGTCTTGGAAGGGGGCATAAAGGGCTCTGCTCTCCAAGGGATTCACTCTGGAGGGAAAGCGAGGGGAGGAGGGCTTGATTGCCCTTGTAATCTGTGTCCTCATTCTCTGCTTGTTCTGTGCCAGGAGCACAGGATCCAGGTGCACATTTTCCAAAATTGGAAAGATGATGAAAATTATAGATAGGGACAAAATTTGCTTCTTCCTCTGAACCTCAGCACCTAGGACAGCACCTCGGTGGCCTGGCTCAGTCAGGGCCTTGTATGTAGCAGACAGTTAATCATTGGTTTTCTTTGTTGGATTGAATTCCTTCCAAAGCTGGGTTCTATAGCAGTGATGGTTCTAAGGGTGCCTAGGACAAAGGACCAGCTGATGGAAAGAGATGCTTTAACTGGAGAATGAAGATGTGGAATTTTCTAAATGTCTTAGGCTTGAGTTTTACTCTGATTCTACACGACAGACAATTAAATAATTATTATTCACATGTTAAGAAGGATTGTGAATGATGCCATATACCCTCCTTCTAAAGTAGGCAAGTCACTTAACCTCTCTGTGACTCAGTTTCTTTATCTATAAAGTGCAAGAGTCAGACTCAGTGATCTTTAAAGTCCTTTCCATCTCTAAATCTATGATTCTATTCTCCTCCCACTTACCCCGCCCCCCACTTCTGAGGGGGAACATCAGAATCATTCTCTTAATTTTTTGCCCCAGTGGGCTCTTCTGATTTTAGAAGTTTCAAGAGCTGTTCTGAAGGGTTAGGTGAAGCATCTGAAGATGTGTGAATGATTGTATTTGCTGAGAGTAAAGTAATATTTGTAGAAGTGTTTCATCAGTTATAAGTCAAGAATCTGTGATTTTGTCAGTGGGGGAATGCCCTCCACTGATATAGATAGTAACTGGTTTATAGTTTATAATCTTAGTGTTGTCTGAGACTAAAATGACTTGCTGATGGTTACATAAGTAGTAAGTATCATATGGTAGGTTCTTTTTACTCCGGTCCAGAACTCTATATATTATGCCACACTACCTCAGTGGATAGAGTGATGGACTTAGAATCAAGAACTGAGTTTAAATCCTTCCTCTGATACTTGCTAGCTGTGTGACCGTCAGTAAGTCTCTTAACTTCTCTCAGCCTCAGTTTCTTCATCTATAAAATGAAGATAATAATAGCACCTACCTCACAGGAACACTGGTAGGGGCAATACTGTATAACAGAAAGACCAAAGGACTTGGAATTTGAAGACTTGGGATCAAGTCCTCCTTCTATCACTTCCCAAGGCATAACCTGGGGCAAAGTCCCTAATCTCTCTGAGCCCTAGCTCCTCAATATGAAAAATGTGGATAATAATACCTCACAAGGTTGTTGTGAGGCTCAAATGACTAATGCATGGAAGCGCTTTGTAACTATAAATCTCTTTGCATGTGATCTATGATCATTGTGTTATTCATTGATATTTATTGATCAATATCATGTTTGATCACCATGATACATATGAGACTCTAGGAAAGTCACTTAACCTCTATTTGTGTCAGCTTCCTCAAATGTAAAATGAGGATAATAATAGCACCTATTTCCCAGGATTGTTGTGAGGAGCAAATAAAATAACATTTGAAAAGTGCTTTGCGCAGTGCCTGAGATATATTAGGTGCTTAATAAATGCTTGTTTTCTTTGTCCTTCCCTCCCTCCCATCCTCTCTTCTTTCTTTTTTTCCTTCCTTCCTTCCTGATGAAATTGCTCAAAATACAAGAATGCAGATACTGAGCATTTCTAAGTCATTCTTAAACCTCATTTCTTCCAAAAAGTCCCTTCTGATCAAATGGAATTAAGGCATGTGCTAAGTCACCTCCCTTAATTTCAGACAGGAATCTGATTTCCATAAAGTCAAGGACAGGTTCCAAAGCATAAAACAATTGCTACCATCCAGGAATGCCTGGGTCTTCATGGCAATGGCAGGCTCTGCTGGACCACCAGTGTCCAAGAGCATGGCTCTGTCTACCCACGTGTGGGCATGGCAGCTTGTAACTCTCAAATCCTTCAGCATGGGCACTATAACTTTGCATTAGTGTAGATGGGCAAGGTTCCTGAGAGTGGTAGTGTGGATATCCCCGGAATAAGTTTGATGAGACATAACATGGCACATGGCTCTGACTTTGGAGACTTCTTTCCCCCTACAGGTGAAAATAGTCCAAGGTCTTCCAACCTTAATGCAAGGCTCATGGTGGGGCTCTGTCGGGGAGTCTGCCTTTCCATATGTTAGCAGACTTTTGCTCCCTTAACAACCTGGACGACTCTGTAGTGAGCAACCATCCAGGAAGAGTTTCTTCCTTTTTCTCTCTTTCTCCTTGCCGCTCCCTTCTAGACTTGCCTGTGTTGATTGTCATGTTTGCCTTTTCCTTTTGAAAAGTGGTGCTAATAAAAGCACTTGTTAGGGAAAAAATTCTTGGAGATCTTTAGGTGGCAGGGTGTCTGGGTTGTATAACTGAAGCTCTTAAGTATCCATCCTAAGCCTTATAGCTCATCACTTTGGAGGTTGGAGAGGCTTATTTTGGGGAGGAGGGGAAAGGTGTATGATGGGATTGAAAGTTGAAAATGAGTCCCATGTAAAGCTTTAATAAATCATAGCTTCAAATGGGACCCATTTTCAAAAGAAGCTTGGGGGCCTCTTGGATTTAAATAGGCAGGGATGGGTGATATCTTGGAGAATTTAAACAGTAGTAGCAGAAGGTGCTGACCTGTCACCCTCTTCACCCCTTCCTTTCTCTTGTCTCCCCTCTAGTCTGTGGCAAGCGTTATAAGAACCGGCCAGGGCTCAGCTATCATTATGCTCACACACACCTGGCCAGTGAAGAAGGGGATGAAGCCCGGGAGCAAGAAACGAGATCCCCACCTGTCCACAGAAATGAAAACCACAGACGTGAGTACCTTCCTATACTTTGCTTTTGATTTATTTGTTTGGAACTGGGATGAAATAGGGTTGGGGGTGGGGGTAGGAATTGATAAAGAACTGAGAATCTGTCTCTCTCTCTCTCTTTCCTTCCCCCTTTTCCTCTCCCTCACCTTTTCCCTCTCTCTCCCTGCCTCCCTTTCTTTCTCTCCTCCTCCCCCAACCTTTCCTATGTTCCAAGTCATTCTTATTGATTTGTTCTATGCCATGGGGGAAGCTGGATTTTTGAACAGAGCTGTTTAGCCCTCTCTGCTGCTAAGCTGAGCTCGAGGACTCCACACCAGCTCAGCATGAGCTGTGTGGCAGGCCTCATTTCTATCACTGTTCCCAGAGGGAGAGAAGGGAAGTGGTTAAAGGAAGAAATAGGAGGGGTTCTTAACTAACCCAACATCAATGTCAGTCCTGCTGTGGCTGTTCCTCAGATCAAGGAAATCTGCCACTTGCTTCTGTAGAACCAAGTTTTGACTTGCCCAGCTAGTGATGAATTTGGTACTACTGCCTTTGGGCGTGTCTATTCCGACTGAATATTGAATTTCACTATTCAGCCATCATGAGCTATAAGAAAGTGTCTTTTGATTTATTGTTCTGTGCACTGACTCTGGCTTTGTTTTCGGGGTCAGAATTCTGCTGCAGGAGCCCTTTGCCCTGGATATAGTGCCTAGCGGCTTCAGGCTGTTTTGTATTTGCACTCAGCTTACAAACATTATCTGTGCGTCCTTGTCCTTTTGAAAGCAGTGTTCAATAGATCTAAACAGACCCCTGAAGGACTTCTATTTCCTTTTCCATTTTCACTTTTTTTCCTCTGTTGGACCAGCCTCCAAGCTTTGATTTGGTTATTCAAAAAGGACTTCAACTACTAACACATGAAGACTCAGAGTTGGTAGTAGGGATGCTTGATATGGTCTTAAATTGGTTACCTCTTTCTATCACCATAACCTAGAATTGAAAAGAGTCTTACGAAATCATTTTGTAGGTGTTGATGCATTAATTTAGTACTAGGAGGGATTTTACAGGTGATCTAATGCAATGCTTTGACTTTACAGATAAGAAAATTGAGACCCAGAGATTAAATTGAGATCCAGAGATTTAGGGGCAGCTAGGTGGCACAGTAAGAAGCAGTTAGATGCCTCAGTGGATAGAGCACTGAGCCTGGAGTCAGGAAGAACTGAGTTAAAATCTGGCCTTAGATGCTTACTAGCTGTGTGACCTTGGGCAAGTCATTTAACCTCTGTTTGCCTAGGAGGCAGCTAGGTGGCCTCAGTGGATAAAGCACTGGGCATCAGGAAGATCTGAGTTCAAATTCAGCCTCAGACAATTACTAGCTCTATGACCCTGGGCAAGTCACTTAACTCTGTTTTCCTTAATCCACTGGAAAAGGAAATGGTAAACCTGTTATCCTTGCCAAGGCAACTCCATGGACAGAATGGTCCATGAGGTCTTGAGGAGTTGGACACAACTGAACAATAGCAGCAACAAGGTGGCTCAGTGGATAGAGTGCTAGGACTGGAGTCAAGAATATCTGAGTTCAAATCCAGCCTGGCCACATTACTTAATCTCTGCCTCAGTTTCCTCAACTCTAAAATGGGGATCATACTAGCGTCTTCCTCCCAAGATTGTTATGAGGATCAAATGAGATAATTATAAAGTGCTTAGCACAGTGCCTGGCACATAGTAGGAACTACATAAATGTTAGTTATTACTACTACTATTATTATGAATATTATTAGCTTGTTATTGACTTCATTAATGTCACACAGGTAAGTGAGTGGCAGAGGTTCTCTGTCTCCAAATTCAGTTGTCTTTTTACTGTACCATACCGCTTCCCTGAGAATAGGAGAAAAGCTTTAGAAGTATTGCCAAATGGTTTCCTTTTCATTCCCCTCTTTGGTGGGAGTTGATTTTAAAGTATATAGTTCAACAGCTTTAAAAGGCTCAGAGCTTTTACCTGTGGGTGCCCCTCTCCTCTAAGCCCTGACTCTTACTTAGGATCTGCAGTTGCTCCATATGAATTTCAGATGCTCAATTTCAGGTTGAGAATCAGGGTGCAGCAATATATCCTAAGAAAGGTTGACTGCTCTCACCTCTCAGCTTAGGATGCAATCTGGAATAATTAAAATGCCCAAGCTTAAAATTTCCCTTAGCTACTTGTATATTTCTCCTGTGCCTGGAGACAATTCTTTTTGTGATGTTAACACAGAGAACCTCCCCCTTCTTCATTTTCCTTCCTCTCTTTCTGGGGACCGGCATTCTTCTGCCAAGGAGGTCATGCTTTCGATGGAAAAGAGTCTGAAGGACCTTTCCTATCTTTCCCATTAGTTCCTCCTGCTCTCCCATCTCACCCTCTCCTGAACATCTGAAATGCTGATGCATCTATTCTCTCTCTGGGGAGATGCTTCTATGTCCTAATCACCCCTCACTGTTTAGTTCAGAAAAAGGAAAAAGAAATCAACCTTCACAAGCTAAGGTTGAATCTTCCTTCTGGAGCACATCTTCTTTCCTTCCCACAGTGTGGCTCTTTATATTGGCATCTTCAAAGTATTTATTAACTTGCTATTATTTACAACCCCTACCCCCAAACACTTTCTACCCCAAAGTCTTTTTTCAAGTGGGCAGATTTTCCCCCTCCAAGATTCTCTTTTTATCCTACCATCTTAGAATTATTTTGTTCCCCGGTTCTTTGTTTTCCTGTATCTTGTCTGGTCTTGCTTCACTGTGTGTGTGGGAGCACAGCTCCTCCCTGTATTTCAGCTTGAGTAGCTGCAGGGTCTGAGTAAAATAAAGTAATATCCTCCTTAGCTTTTCACCTGATCCCCTCTGGGTTGCACATCCACGTCTGAGAAGGGCACTGGCATTTCCCCCCCCTCTCCAACATCAACTTCTTACATGATCTTATCAGCTGGATATCCTTGGCTCTTTGCAGAAAACTGCCCCTTGTTTTCAACTGAGACTATTTCTTCTTCTTAGGTGGATGTGCCTTTGTAAGAAATCACATCCTGGTTCTTGCTTTGATCTTTCCGGGTCGTTTTGTACTTTCCATTCATTGTCTTGCACCCTGGTTTCAACTCTTTCTGTCCCTTTTTCCTCCCCCACCCCCACCCCATGAGACTGTTTCTTTAAAGATATCATCTGATTGACCTAAGTTTTAAACCACGTGGAAGATAATAGTTATGTCAAAGGTTAAAGGAGTGCTTCGGGTGGGCAAAACTCAAGGAATTTCACAAACAACATTTTCATCCAAGTTCCCTTTCACACTCATTTGAAGACTGTTTTTTATTAATCCCGGTATTGCTATGATCATTGAGAGGGATCCAGTGTGTTGACCAATGATCAATCAATCAAGTATTTGTTAAGTGTCTACTATGTGCTAGGGCTACAAATATAAAAATGAGACGGTCCCTGCCTTCAAGGAGCTTACATTCCACCCGGGGGATACCTAATGTTCACAGATAAGTAAATACACAAGGTATATAAAATGAAGCTACAGTATGGATCGGGGAGGTGGGCAGTACTAATTTAAAGAGTCAGAAAAGGTCTCTTGAAGGAGGAGGCCTTAAGTGCTAAACAGAGTAGTTTGTATTTGATTCTAAACAAAAGGGAGCTACAAAGTCTCTTGAGTAGAGGAATGATCAGATCTTCACTTTAGGGATATTCCATTGGAAGTGATATAGAGAATGAATTGGAGAGGAGACAGGCTAGATATCAAGAGATTATTGCAGTAATCTGAGGGAGAGTTGAAGCAAGAGCCTGCGTGAATCATGTAACCTTTCAGAGCCTCAGTCTTGTCATCTGTAAAAAGGGAATAATACTTGCAGTACTTCACAAAGTTATGGGAAAAGACTTTTGCAAACTTTAAATAGCTCTATAAATGTGCTCGTAGTATTTCTCCCCCCACCCCAATTGACACTATCATTTTGACTGTTGTTTGCCGTTCTAACCTTTTTTCCTGACTCTGAAAGCTCTCAATGCAACCCCTTCCTTACCTGAACAAGTGACTTCTCTTTCTACTAGGAAAAATTGAGGCAGTTTGTTATGAGCTCTCCCTATTCCCTTAATCCAATCTCAAAACCTTCTCTTCTCTTTTTTTTGGTGAGGCAATTGGGGTTAAGTGACTTGCCCAGGATCACACAGCTAGTTAAGTGCCAAGTGTCTGAGGCCAAATTTGAACTCAGGTCCTCCTGACTCCAAGGCTGGAGCTCTATCTACTGTGCCACCTAGCTGCCCCTCTTCTCTTTCTTTTGCTTCTGGTTTCTTAGAAAGAGATGGCCCTTCTCCTTGCCAAGTCCAATCCTTCCACTTGTGTCCATGTCCAATCAACTCTATCTTCTCAGGGATCTTGCCTCCTTTATCCTTCCCTCTTTCAATCTCTTCATCAGTTTTTTTTTTAATCTTGGAGCTCCATGATGCTCAGGTCTTAGAAAATTTACTGGTGGGTAAATCTACACTAGGCTTGGATTAAGTAGAGTTAGGGTCAGATCCTTCCTCAGTCACTACCTTTGTGACTATGGTCTAATTACTTAACCTTTGAAAGGTTTAGTTTCTTCGGAGGTCCTCCCCTTAGCACTCTGGGAGAACCCCAACAGATCCATTTGTTTATTCCACTTGGAATCTCTCTCTTCTTCTCTCTCTCTCTTCTTCTTTTCTCTCTTCTCTTCTCTTCTATCTCCCTCCCTCTCCCTCCCTCTTTCTCTCTCTCTCTCTTTCTCTCTCTCTTTCTCTCTCTCCCCATTCCCTCTCCCTTTCACTCTCTCTTTCTCCCCTACTCCCCTCTCCACCTTGCCCCTTCTGTCCTTCTCTCCCATTCTCTTTCTTCTTCCTCCCCTCTCCTACTCTCTCCCTTTCTTCCTCTACCTTCTTTGTCTCTTTTCTTATCTCCCTTCCTCCTCTCCTCCACTTCCCTCTTTTTTCTTTGCTTCACTCCCTCTCTTCCCCTCCTCTTTGCCTCTTTCCATCTCTGTATCTTTTCTCCCCTT